GGGGCTCCCGCCTGAGACTTCCTCGCAATTCACTCACAGACGAGGCTCCCGCCTGAGACTTCCTCCATATTCAGGCTTGAGGAGCCCAAAAGTGACGACAGTTACAGGGTTCCGATGACCCGCTCGGATTACCAACATGATCTGCGGGCCCCATGGGGAGGGAGCTCCCGCCTGAGACTTCCTCACAATTCACTCACAGACGAGGCTCCCGCCTGAGACTTCCTCCACATTCAGGCTTGACGAGCCCAAAAGTGACGACAGTTACAGGTTCCGATGACCTGCTCGGATTACCAACATGATCTGCGGGCCCCATGGGAGGGAGCTCCCGCCTGAGACTTCCTCACAATTCACTCACAGACGAGGCTCCCGCCTGAGACTTCCTCCATTTCAGGCCTGGGAGCTCAAAAGTGACGACAGTTACAGGATCCCGATGACCCGCTCGGATTACCAACATGATCTGCGGGCCCCATAGGGAGGGGGCTCCCGCCTGAGACTTCCTCACAATTTACTCAACGATGATGAGGATGAGGATGATGAGTGGTGGTGAAGATGAGTGGTGGCGATGATGATGTTTGAATGAGGATGATGCCGATGCCGATGGTGATGATGATGATGTTCGTGAGCGTGTGAGAGAGTGCGAGTGATGATGATGATGATGATGATGATGAGTATGTGAATGACTAAGCATGTGAGAGAGCATCATCGATGATGCTGATGAGGTTGATGATGAGAGAGTGTGAGTGGGTGTGAGTGGGTGTGTGTGTGTTCCTGTTCCTGTTCCTGCGCGGGGTGTCCAGAGAAAACAAGAACCCCACTTTGGATGTGGGGGGAAAAAAAAACGTCACCATCGACTGCGCCAGGGACGAAGGCGTTGGTCACACGGGCATGTCGGACGAGCACTGGCGGCTGCATTTCTACGTCATGCTATCCCGCGCCACGCGCATGCGGAACACGCTGATCCTCTGGCCGCCCGCGCGAAGAGTTCCTGAAGCGAGGGACGACGGCGTTCCTGCGGAAGGCGCTCGAAGAATTCGACAAGAGAACGATGGCTCCCAGGGCTGAAACGGAGCAGCTCGCGGCAGAGCTAGGTTTCGCGTTGCCTCCTGCCTGAACGCGGCCGCGACGAGCTCGAAGACCGCGGGGTTGCCCCAACGGACGGCTCCCGCGCCCCAGCGGCTCGCGGGGTTGTCCTAACGACCTCCCACGCGGGACTGCCCCAACGTCTTCGCGATCTGGCAATAAAAAGACGCGTCCGGCAATGGCGGCAAAGGCGCCGAACAAAATCTACACACGCGCCCCGGCCAGAAGGAAGGATAATGAGGCAAACTGGCGGGATGGAGATGGGGCGGGGAAGATGGAGGAGGTGGAGGAAAATACGAAGAGGTGGTGGAGGAGAAAAAGGAGGAGGAGAAGGAGGAGGAGGAGAAGGAGGAGGAGGAGGAGGAGGAGAGGGAAGGGGAGGGGGAGGCCGACGACGACGACGACGACGACGACGAGAAGAAATGGACGTGAAGGCCTCCGCCAGGGCGGCAGAGGGGCACGCTCAATAGACGATCGTGCGGGGTCCTACCGTCGAAATTGTGGGGGGGAATCTAAACGCCCTCGGCTCCAACCGCGCCGAAACCTCAACTTCGCGCCGTCGCAGGGCCAGGCGCTGCGCAAGGGCCGACCGTCGACTGCACCCAAGGTGACAACGCTGGTCGCGCGGGCACGTCGCACGAGCACTGGCGGTTGCACCTCTACGTCCTCCTCCCGTGCCGCGCGCATGCGGAACACGCTGCTCGTGCGGCCGCCCACGCGACGAGTTCCTGGAGCCCGGGCTGCCGGCTTCCGCGCGGGAGGCGTTCAGGGAGTTCGAACAGAGAACGGAGAGCTCCACGGCTAAGGCGGAGCAGCTCGCGGCAGAGCTGGGCTTCGCGCTGCCTCCCGCCTGAGCGCGGCCGCGACTAGCTCGAGACCCGCGGGGTTGTCCCAATGGTTTGTTCCCGTGCCCCAGCGGCTCGCGAGGTTGTCCCAACGGCCTGGCCCGCGGGTTGCTCCAGCGGCTTCGCGATCTGGCCATCGGAGAACGCGCCCATGCTGGCAGCGGCAGCAACGGCGCCAAGGAATATCGACTTGCGTGGCCCTGCTAGAGGGCAAGAGGACGAGGAGGAGGCAGGGCAGGGGGCGGGAAGATGACCTCCTCCAGGGCGAAAATGAGAAGGGCGACGAGGAGACGAGAAGCGAGCCCCTGATCTCAGAAGGACGAAGATGAGGTTTACTTCTGTTTAAGTCTGGGAGATTGCTATGCGGGGTCTCACCGTCGGAATATTTTCCAGAAATCACAGCGTTCCTGGCTTGTCGGCCTTCCAGCATTGGAAGACGGCCCAAGGAGGCCCCGAAGATCGCTCCAAGACGGGCCCAGAGGCCCCCAAGACGGCGAAAGAGGGCCTCGAGACGGCCCAACAGTCCCAAAAGACTTCCCAAGAGGGCCCCAAGAAGGCCCAAAGACGAGCCCAAGAGGGGGGAGCAAGGGGGCTTGCGAAGCCTTTCCCTCCGATCTGATTCCCAAGACCCCCAACATGCCCCGAATCGTTTTCCGAGACGCCTCAAGAGGCTTCCAGGAGGCTCCCAAGACGCCCCGAAGAGGCCACTAAGAGACCCCAAGAGGCCACCAAGAAGCCCCAAAGAAGCCGCTGAGAGGACCCAAGAGGCCACCAAGAAGCCCCCAAGAGGCCCCAAAAAAGCTCTCAAGAGGCTCCCAAAAGCCTTCCAAGAGGCCCCCGAGAGACATCCCAAGAGACACTAAGATGCATCCAAGAGGCATCTGACCCACAACCCACGCAAGGTGGCGCGCTGGCTTTAAGAAGCCAAGAAAGACCCCTCCCAAAAGATCCCAGAGCCTTTCAGAACGCTTCCAAACCATCTCAAGAGGTTCCTCCGAGGCTTCAAAGAGACTCCAAGAAGCCCCGTAACAGACCCCGAGAGGCCTCCACAAGGACTCCTCCTCCGCCTCCTCCTCCGCCTCCTCCTCGTTCCCCTCTTCGTCCGTATCATCATCCTCATCCTCCTCCGCTGCATCCTCCTCCTCACGTTGCCACAAAATGCAATCGAAACACGCCCTCACTTTATCCATTCTGGCCGTGCACCCCTCGAAGGGGGGAAGCCCCCAGAGAGCCCAGGGTGATCCAAGATAGCTCCTGAGTGGCTCCTAGACGGCCTTCTCAGCCCTCGCGAGCACGCAGGCAAGTGCCTGCGACACACGCTAACACGGCATCTCATCTCATGATGCGACTACGGTCGGGAACTTCTGGACAGCGTGCCGCTCCGCCAATTTCGGCCCAAAAGGCGCTTCGGCGCGACACGCTATCCACTTCCCGGCCCCCGAGCGGCAACGTCCCGAGCCTTTCCGAGTATGCCGCCCTGCGGAGCGGAGCGACGCTATCCGCTTGGAAGGGGCCAGCGTGTCAGCGACGCTATCCGCTTGGAAGGGGCCAGCGTGTCGCCGGGGCCGCCGCCGTGACACGCTGTGCACAAATCCCCGACCGCATCTCTCGCGGCCTGTGGGCCGCAGCCCGTGACCCATACCAGCACTGGGCTGGCGGGATGTGCGAAGCGATCTCATAGTAGGACGTTGCTGGGACCTCGTCCCGAAGATCACCCTGCGCCGAGCCAGGCCCGTCGACGTGGTGCACAATCATCCCTCCCCGATCTCGCCCCCCGCCTGTTGTCAGTCTCTTTGGTTGACCCTAGAGGGGGTCCAGCTAAAAGGGGGTGTTGCAATAGATTTGGGGCAATCGCAATTGCACATGTATCGCGCCGGAGAAAAGAATTGTATTGCATTGTATTGCAACGGGCGCACTGTCCGCAAAAATCCAGCTATATACATCTACGCCCAGGAACGTAGTATTGCACGCCCCAGGTCCACTGCGACCCACAGACCTGTCGCGACCCACAAGTCTATTTTGCCCCCCCCCCTGCAGCTGGTCTCCCTCCTGGGTCAACCAGAGCCTCGGGCCCCCGCGCACGCGCACGCGCCCCGGCCGAGCGGCACGATGCCAGCAGCTGGCAACGGAGGAGGAGGAGGAGGAGGAGGAGGAGGAGGAGGAGGAGGAGGAAAGGAGCAGGAGGAGGAGGAGGAGGAAAGGAGCAGGAGGAGGAGCCCCCGCGCGCGTGCGCGACGCCCCCGACGCGCCCACCGCGGGCCCGCGGCTCCACCTCTGCGGCAGCCCCCCCGGCCGAGCCCGCATGGGGCAGAGCCGGCGCACGCGCGCGGGCGCGCGGTCCGCAAAAACGGGCGGACCCTCGCCCCGGGCGCGCCTGGCCCGGAAACCCGAGCGCGGGCGCGTCGGGGGATCTGGTCGACCCGAGAGTGACTACCTACCAAACCACCCCAACCCAACCCGAAGGCCCGAATTTCGGGTTGGGGGGGGTAAGGGTACCATACGTGTTTTTTCGATGTTCCGCGACACCCCCCCCACTGGAAATGGAGGGCAAATCTGAGCCTTCGGGTTGGGTTGGGGTGGTTTGGTGGGTGGTGAGAGAGGGGGTCCTGCTGGAAGGGGTGGGTGCAATAGATCTGGGGCAGCCGTAATTGCAGGTGCACTGCGCCAGAGAGTGGTATCACACTGTATTGCAACGAATGTATGGCACGCGACAGTCCAGCAACCCGCTTGCGCACCAGAAGGTATTGCACGCCCCAGATCTGTTGTAGCCACATATTCTGTGGCACCAAACCTACTGCACCACCCCCTTTTCGCTGGACACCCTGCTGGGTGAACCAAGAGAGAGCTTCCCTGCACAGTTTCCCCCGGGGCCGTAGACGACCCGAGGAGGAGAAGGAGGAGGTGGAGGAGGGGGAGGGGGAGGGGGAGGGGGAGATGAGGGAGGAGGAGACGGAGGAAGAGGAGGAGAGGAGGAAGGAGGAGGAAGGAGGAGGAGGAGGAAGGAGGAGGAGGACGGGTCGCCTAGGCCCTTCGGAGAAACCCTCCAGACTTCCCCCCCGCCCGCCCCTCTGGGTCCGCGTACGCGATCTCCTTGTCGCAGTAGGCCTTGTGCTTCGCGTCGGCGCCGGCCTGGGGTCGGAGAGCACCGGGGCCGCGGCCCACAGCTCGGGCCAGGCTCGGGCCACAGCTCGGGCCCAGGGGGCGCGGCCTGGGCGCCGCGGGCCGACGAGCTCCCCCAGGTGAGGATGTATGGGCTGCTCCCTTCGGGCTTGCAGGGGCCCATCCCCAACTGGGTTGGCGGGAGAGGGACTCAGGATGGGGATGGGGATGGGGATGGGGATGGGGATCCGTTAATTCGAAGAAAATTCAAAATAAAACAAAGAAGAGAGAACAAAAAAAACGGCATAAACATCAACTTTCGACGGTGTCTTGGATCTGCGCTGTACCGGAGCGCGCCAGGGGCGGCCCCCTGAGGCGCCGCCAGGGGGCCCCGGCGCGGATCCAGGAAGTCCGCGCGGAGCGCCAAAACTTTGTGTTCATGCTGATTTTCCTTCGCCGAGTTGAACAATACGGACCGAGGCGAGAAGACGTCCGAAACCTTCTGGCCTTGGGCGAGCGCGCGCTCCACGACTCGCAGAAGGAGCTACTCGCAAATCGCCTGGATCCGCCGCGGGGGACTTGCGATCCATGGCATCGAGGCAAGCGCGTATCTTTCTTCCGGCGTTTGCGAGCAGGCACTGTGCGAGTAGTGGAACGCGCTCGGTGAGGCAGAGGGCGCGCGGCACTCCGCGCCAGCGCTGGCGGGGAGCGCGGCGGCCGCTGCGGCCGCCGGGCGGCACCGCCGCGGCCACCCAGCCCCACCGCGCCGACCTCCTCGTCGTCCTGCCCCTAATCCGCCTCCTCGTCTCTCCTCCTCCTCCTCCTCCTCCTCCTCCTCCTCCTCCTCCTCCTCCTCCTCCTCCTCCTCCTCCTCCTCCTCCTCCTCCTCCTCCGCCTCCTCCTCCTCGGAGGAGGAGAAGAGGTCGCCTAAGCCCTTCGGAGAAACCCTCCACCTCAAGCATATCCATCTCCCTCCGACGGGAGCAGCCATGTGGCTTCCAGCGGTCTCCATTCACCCTCCTCGGCCCACGCTCGGGCCTCGGACTCCAGCTTCTCGATCATGTCCTGCCACAGGACGCGCGCGAAGCGCGCGCCGAGGCGGCAGCGGCGGGGACGGGACGCGGCGTCACTACGGCCACCCAGACCTCATCCGCCTCCTCCTCCTCCTCCCCTTCTTCCTCCTCCTCCTCATCCTCCTCCTCATCCTCCTCCTCATCCTCCTCATCCTCCTCCTCCTCCTCCTCCTCCTCCTCGGCCACCCGGATCTCCTCCTCCTCCTCCCCCTCCTCTTCCTCCTTCGCCCTCCTCCTCCTCCTCGTCTCCTCCTCCTTATCCTCCTCCTCCTCCTCCTCCTCCTCCTCCTCCTCCTCCTCCTCCTCCTCCTCCTCCCCATCCTCCTCCTGCTCCTCCTCCTGCGTGAAAAGAAAGAACGTGTTCTGCTTTAGACTCCAGCAAAGTTACTTGCATGGGCGGGGGGGCTGAAACTGAACTGCGCCGCAAACGACTGGCACGTGCGGAGATCACGCAAGTCGAAAGGCACTTGCACGCCAGTAGTCGTTTGAATAGGGGCGAGGGGGTGGAGGGGTGAGGAGGGAGCGAACGCCACAAGTAAACTTGCCCGAATCGATGGAGAAAGAAGGCTCAAATACCTGGCATCTGGGGCCTCCCGAGGCCCGCTCCGTGCCCCAGGGTCCGCAGCAGAAAGCGTAGGGGGGGATGCCCTGGCTCCCACCTACAGAGCCTCCGCGGCAGAGGCCCGCGACGCCGGGGGAAGAAGAGAGGAGGAGGAGGAGGGGGAGGAGGAGGAGGAGGAGGCGGAGGAGGAGGAGGAGAGGAGGTGAAAGAGGAGGGGGGAGGGGGGAGGGGGAGGGGAGGGGGAGGGGGAGGGGGAGGGGGAGGGGGAGGGGGAGGGGAGGGAAGGGAAGGGAAGGAGACGGAAAAGAGAGAGAGAGAGAGAGAAAGGAAAAGAGGAGGGAGGAAAAGAGGAGGCTAAAAGAGGAGGCTAAGGAGGAGCAGCAGGAGGAAGGGGAGGATGTGCACAAAGAGGTCACAGGTAAAGTGGAGAAGCAAGAGGATACCGTGGAGGGGAGAGGAGAAAGAAAGAGGAAGGGGGGGATGAGATGGGGAGAAGAAGGATGACCCTCCTCATCCTCCCTCCTCCTCCTCCTCCTCCTCCTCCTCCTCCTCCTCCTCATCCTCCTATCATCATCATCATCATCATCATCATCATCATCATCATCATCATCATCACATCATCATTATCAGCATCAGCATCAGCATCAGCATCATCATCATCAGCATCATCATCATAATCAACATCATCATTACCATCATCATCATCATCATCAGCATCATCATCATCATCATCATCAGCATCATGATCATCATCATAATCATCATCATCATCAGCAGCAGTATCATCATCATCATCAGCATCATCATCAGCATCATCATCATCATCATCATCATCGGCATCACAATCATCAACAACAATAACAACGACAGCATCATAATCAGCATCAGCATCATTGTCATCATCATCATCATCATCATCATCATCAGCATCATGATCAGCATCAGCTTCATTGTCATCATCATCATCAACATCATCATCATCACCACCATCATCATCAGCATCATGGTCGTGATTATCATCATCATCATCATCATAATCAGCATCAACAGCATCATCATCATCACAATCATCAGCATCATCATCATCGTCATCAGCATCATCAGCATCATCATTACCATCATCATCATCATCATCATCATCATCATCATCATCATCATCATCATCATCATTTGCTCCACACACCCTGCGGCGAAGGCGCGTTGGCCATGGGGCCCGCAGGAGCGACAGTCCTGGATCAAGCCCTTCACCTTCGCAAACCTCGGCGCAAGCACGGGTAGGAACGATGCTCCTCCTCCTCCTCCTCCTCCAACTCCTCCTCCTCCTCCTCCTCCTCCTCCTCCTCCGTCTCTTCCTCCTCATCCTGTTCCGTCTCCCCATCGCCATCATACGCATCATCATCACCAGCAGCATCATCAGCATCAGCAGCATCATCAGCATCATCAGCACCAGCATCATCAGCATCGTCGTTACCAGCAGCAGCATCATCGTCGTCATCAGCATCAGCAAAGGCATCGGCACCATCATCATCAGCAGCATCATCAATCAGTATCATCATCAGCATCATCAGCATCATCAGCATCATCGTCATCATCATCAGCATCAGCATCATCATCATCATGATCATCGTCATCAGCAATATCATCAGCATCATCAGCATCAGCAGCACCATCATCAGCATCATCAGCGTAATCAGCATCGTCATCTTCATCATCAGCATCATCATCAGCAGCAGCAGCATCAGCATCATCATTGTCATCAACAGCATCAGCATCATCATCGTCGTCATCGTTATCATCGTCAGCATCATCATCACCATCAGAATCAGCATCATCACCATCATCAGCATAATCGTCAGCATCATCAGCATCGGCATCAACATCATCAGTAGCATCATCATCTCATCATCGTGACTAACAACAACATGTTGTAGCATGCCATATCGAATCATAGCGGTTCAGATTGCGCTATAGCATATTCAAAGTCATCGTCAGCATCATCATCGTAAGACACTGGGCTCAAACCATATTGGGCCTATAGCTTCGCTTTCCGGCCCGCCAAACCCCTAAATTGGATCACATCAAGCATATAACTTTTCACCGACCACACCTGGCTCGCACCTGCATCCTCTCTTACCTTACGTTCCTTTCATCCTACCATCTCGCACGCGCATGCCTGCAGCGATGTCTACTTCGGGTGCAAGTGGAGACGCGCGCGTGCCAGGCACCCCTGTCAGGCAGCTGTTCAGTGACGGCCGTCTTCCACCTGCTTCGCCATCGTCGAACCCAACACCAGGCAAGCACAAACCAAAGGCAATAAGGATTGACAACCCGCTGAATGAGATGGACGGGATTACAGAACCGGCTCCCGAAGGTCTCCCAGCAGCACGTCAACTGCAATATGAACGTGCTCTTACAAGGGCATCTTCAAGCATGCCGGCAACGCTAGACGCGATCCAGAAGCTCCTGAAGCCTATTCAGATGGACATCGCGGCCATCAAAACCCACGGAGTCTCTCAACGTGATCTTCAAGCTGCCGCGTCACCGTTGAAGGCTTCGTTGGAACATCTGGAAACGCGAGTAGCTGCTATCGAAACTGACCCCTCGCGACCAGCATCTATCCGGACGGCACACCTCGGAGCTTTGAACCACCTATTTGCAGACCTACGCCACGCCCCACAGCGGGCAAGTGAGACGGTTGTTCTCGGGAGCTTGGGGGAACTGGCGTCGCTGGAAGGGGCAGTCGAATTTCTAAAACAAGAGATGGCTAAGTCAAACATGCCAGCGACGAGTGACATCTACATGAAAGGTGATATCTACAAAGGCATTGTCTTCGCAAAGATGAACGAAGACAAAGATATAGAGGCAGTGCTGCGCACGTTACGAGCTTCACTAATGTATTACAAGAACACAAAAATATGGGCACGTCAAGATAAGCCAGCCTCTATTAGGATCCCGATCCGGATGCTATCTGGCCTGAAACGGCTTCTGGTGCAATGGGCTTCAAAAACACGCCGTCCAGATTGACGACGAGAAGCTCACCATGCACGCCGGGGGCGAGCACATCTTATCAGTCTGCTCTGTCGGATGTGTGCTCAAACTCACATGGCACAGTGCAGAATGGGAGAATTGGGCTGACCTCCAAAACGATGCGGCTTTCATCGAGCTCAGCACGTTCTGCGAGGAAGCACAGTCCCGTGACACTGACATGGGAAAAGGGAAAAGGAAGAAAGGGAAGAATTGACGGGGCCCGGAGGGCGAGGGCACTGTTTCACCCAATCGTTTTTCAGCGCCGTTGGGATGCCCGCGCCCACATGGAGCCTTGATTGCACAAAGATGGCACGTCAGAATCGCCACATGGAACGTCACCGAGTTAACCGACGAGAAACTTTACATACTTTGCGAAGCAATATCGAATTTCTCTGCCTCCAGGAAACATAGGCTTCGAAAGCAGACTACTACACAAACGATGGGCGCCTTATCATTTTGTCGGGCTCGGAAAATCCAGGCAGCACTGACAAACCTAGATCGAGAGTGGATTTTACCATTGCGTCCCACGTGGCACCGTCCATCTGTGGCTTCTTGCAATATTCAGACCGGCTCGCCTGCTTGAAGATCCGGGGAAGCGGGGGGAAGCATGCGCTGATCACTGGCTACGCCCCGCACAACCTCCGACCACTACCTGAGCGGTTACAGTTCTACCTGGAATTGGAAAAACTGCTCAGCTGCTCAGTGCCATATCGGTGAATGGATTCAAATATATCGCTGGAGACTTCAACGCCTGGCTTGGCCAGCAACGGCGATGCGAAGAACATGCACTTGGACCGTACACTTTTGGAGCAGAAGCACACAAAAGAGTCGCCCAACCGGGACCTCTTGATGGAGTTCTGCACGGCGCAGCAGTACAGCATCAGCAACACTTTTCAGAACGTGCCTGACGGACTTACATACATGGAGAGCGGCACAACACCCAACAAAGCCGTCCTGCCGAACAAATTTGCGCTGCTCGATTTGTTTCACGTGCCGGGTGCAAGTTTTGACCGAGTGGTGTCCGTTGAAAACCACCGAGAAGTAGCACTGGCCACGCGGCACTTCCTAGTATGTTGCCAGATCGACCTCGACAGTCAGCATTCTCATCCACGTCGACACCACAGTCGAAAACAGAGAGTTAGTTTGCAAACACCTGGTAGACGACGTCAATTTGTTACGGCATTTTTGGAGAATTGCTCGGAGAACGCCGCAGGCACCACTGACGTGCTCGAAGACGCCTGGCTGAACATCTCGGCCGCGATCGAGGCTGCAGCCGAGGTCTTGCCTGACGAACCACCCCAACCCAGACGACCGTGGATCAGTGGCTGAACAGTGCAGCTCATCCAAGAAAAAGCGCAAGCTCGAGTGGACGGGAACGCCGTGCTGGAGAAGGAGAAGCACAAAGCTGTACGAAATCTGCACGAGAAGGTCAATCCAAATGGCTGGAAGGCTTGGTGGCGACTGGTTCCTGGGATGATATCAGAAGCTCCGAAAATCCCGTCCGCCAAGCAGGGGCGGCTCCGAAACTTGCAAGGAGAATTAGTCAACAGCGAAGACCGACCAGACTCCATGGCAACATACCTCGAGACGGCGCAGTGGGGCGTGCGTCCAGCCGACGCTGTCGACGCACCCGCCCTTGGACACGCGCTGCCGGTCAATTTGGCCAACTTCACGGACGGAGAGGTCAGGGCATGTTTGCGCAAGCTACGCGATGGCAAAGCACCTGGGCCAGACGGCATCCCGCCAGAAAATTGAAAGGCAATTGCGGATGACTACAAGGCATTGCGACGCATCACGACTTTTGCAAACCACTGTTGGAAAGGGCGAAGGGTGCCGCAAGGATGGCCAGCAATACACAAAAAAAGAAAAAACATACGATTGTGCGAAGTATCGAACAATCAGTCTTCTCGCGATTGGGAGAAGTATTCGCGTATTTGCTACACCGACGCTTGGTGGAGGCAGGAGCAAAATCCAGGCTGACGGGATCGCAATTTGATGTTCAATCAAAGCATGGGACACAAAAGGCAATGTTTGCGCTCCGTCGGCGTATAGACTTGGTGCCTAGCACATCATCAGGCAATGTGTACGTATTGGCCTTGGATCGGCAAAAAGCTTTCGACTCCATCAACCCGTTGGCCATGCTACGCAATCCGCGACGCTTCGGCTTGCCCGAGCACGTGTTGGAGGTCATAAGGGTGATTAACAGCGACAGACTCTTTGAGGTGCGGGACTGGAGGGCTACTTCTTCCTCGAGGCCGCAGTCGTCCAGGATGTCGCAAGGATACCCTCTCTCACCCTTCCTGTTGGCGACGACCATGACAGTAATCATCGAAGGCGCTGTCTCCCTACTTGCAGCAGAGCACCGAGCACTCGGGGGACAGTGGATCCCCCTCGGTCCAGCTGCACGCGGACGACACACTGACCCTGGGAAGGACGAAGCGGGGATCTGGAAAAGGAGTTGCACCTGGACAAGTTCCCACTGCTGCAAGTCAGATGCGCAAGCAGCATTCAGGATTCGAATGGAAACGTCATACCAGCGCAAGACAATATGATTTGCTTGGGTGGTTTGATTTCTGGAACTGGCGCCGCAGGCAAGGAGCTCAGTCGCCGCCTGGGCGCGGCGCGCGCCGATTTTGACAGGCTCTCCAAGACATGGCGACATTCAGGTTTAAGCAGGCACAGTAAAATTGAGGTCTACAAGGCCGTTGTTCTTGACAAGCTCACGTATGGTTGATCGACTTTGTGGTTGAATGATGCGGAGAGAAGGCGGTTGGATGGCTTCCATTGCCGGTGTCTTCGCGTCATATGGAGAATCGAGCCAACATACAGTTCCAGAGTGAGCAACGTAATTGTTTCAGACAGCACGGGACAACCCCCTCTGACAGATACAGTGGCACGACAGCAGCTTCTCAGACCTGGCAAAGTCGCCAGGACACCGGAAGTCAGAACGGAGCCTCCTCAGGAAGGCCACCTTCTGTCCTGGAAAATTCAGACCGGCAGCAGACCGGTGCGCGAGAAAGGTTGGCAGGCCACGCGGAGACTGGACAACCCAAGGTGATACGCGTCGCTTGCGCGGCGGCGGGCGGCATGTCAAATTTAGCCCCACTCTTGGCTAAATGAATTTTCCTGGCGGCAATTCGTACGCGCAGCAAAGCTGACTGTATAGCGCAGCACGGCCCGGAGTTTCATGTCTAGTCTGCGGCATGTTTCCAGCCCCGTGTCGTCGTCGTCAATATGATTGTCATCATCACCGTCATCAGCATCAACAACATCATCATCAATCATCCTCATCCCAGTCCTCGCCATCGTCGCTTTCGTTTTTAGCATCAGCATCACCAATATCACCAATACCACCATCAGCCTCAGCATCAGCATCATCATCAGCATCATGATCACGTCAGCAGCAGCATCAAGCGGATGTCCGTTGTGTTCTGCGAACTGACCATCGCAAAGCGATGTCCTCGTCAGCAGGAGCAGAATCGTCGTCATCGTCGTTGTCGACACGATTTTTTGATCATCATCAAGGTCACCGTGCTCATCAATAATCGGTGCCACGATAGGCATCGTAATTTCGATGGTGCCCATCTCATCAGCCCCATTATCATCATCATGTCACCCTCTACTACCCGCCCACACCATCCTCCTTATCCTCCTCCTTCGTCCCGTCTCTTTCCTCCCACTCTGCTCCCATACCCGTCCATCTGTCCGACTTCAATCCTCCCTTCCCCTCATCAGCCCCCTCCTCTGCAATCCCTCCCTCCCTGTTTTTGCATCCCTGAACGTCCGTCCCCTTCCACCTCTCTCCCTCCTTTGCTCGCTCCCTGCCGCCATCCTTACCCTCCTCCTCATCCTCCTCATCCCCTTCTCCGTCACAGACCACGGCAGCGCATCCCGATTCCTCTCGCCCCGTCTGGAATCTCGGCTCTCGACCCTTCCCCTTTCTCAACTGAGGCTCTGACGCCCTTTCTGCGACCAGCCTTGCACTCTATCTCTTCGGAGCCTTTCAAATGGTACTACTACTACTACTACTACTACTACTACTACTACTACTACTACTACTACTACTACTACTACTACTACTACTACTACTACTACTAGTACTACTACTACTACTACTACTACAACTACTACTACTACAACAACTACTACTACTACTACTACTA